GGATATTGCTGTCTGTTCTGATGTTATTCCGATGGATTTGGGATGTTCAGGATATTGCTGTCTGTTCTGATGTTATTCCGATGGAGAACTGCTGCCGTTCACGCCTAGTCCTGAGAACTAACACTGTTGAAGGCTTTAGACCAGAGTCCTGTGCCTCTTACTAGAAGAGGCCTGGTGGCCAGCAGGGGCTGTGGCGAGTCCTGGGAAGTACGCTCGCCTCTTTGGATGTGTAGTTAGCGTGTATTCACATTTAGGTCATACGTAAAGCAGACATTCACGTCTAGGTCAGATGTAAAGGTGACAACTAGGTCAACACCCGGCTGAAGGGCAGGGAGCATTGGTTCTCTGTGTGATGGGAAGACATTGGCAGCCATGCGTTTGTTGGCCCTAGTGTACAGGTTCTGATTCTAAATGCACTTCATTCAGGTGAGGTTTATACATGGGGCGACAATGATGAGGGACAGCTGGGAGATGGAACCACCAACGCCATCCAGAGGCCTCGGTTGGTAGCTGCCCTTCAGGGTAAGAAGGTCAACCGTGTGGCCTGTGGTTCAGCACATACCCTCGCCTGGTCGACCAGCAAGCCCGCCAGCGCTGGCAAACTCCCAGCACAGGTGAGTCCGGGCAGGCTGGGTGGGTCGGGGGCGAGCAAAGTGTGCTCCTGTCACGTGCTGCATCCTGTCGTTGTGTATTTACAGAGGCTTCTCGGTGAAAGTAATTCAGGCTCAGTAAATGTTAACCAAACAGTGTATTTACGAGCCTCAATATTTGGCTGGTTGTGGTGGCTCATGCCTGTAATCCCAACACTTTGGGAGTCCGAGGTGGGCGGATTGCCTGAACTCAGGAGTTCGGGACGAGCCTGGACAACATAGCAAAACCCTGTCTCTACAAAATTAGCTGGGCATAGTGGCGTACACCTGTAGTCCCAGCTACTTGGGAGGCTGAGGGCTGAGGTGGGAGGATCGCTTGAGTGTGAAAGGTTAAAGCTGCAGTGATTGCACCACTGCCCTCTTGCCTGGGTGACAGAGTGAGACCCTGTCTCAAAAAAAACCTTAATATTCATGCCAGCCAACATTCTGTGTGTATGGTGTGTATCACCTTCTAAGATATCTTATAACCCTCACCACTGTTCTGATGTACATGCCTCACGCTTCTTAGTAAATATATTTGTATAGACAAATTTTTTTTTTACAGTCAAATTGGACAGAATATTATTTTAAAAGCAGCACAGTGAGGTTTTGTAAAGCAAACTCAGAAACCATAATGCTTCTCTGGTTTTGAAACAATTGTTTTCAGAGTCCTTAATGGGTGTCACACTGTGGCCCCCCTGTGCCTTTGGTGCCTGAGGGGCTGAAGGCCGTTTCTGTGTTCCAGGTCCCCATGGAGTACAATCACCTGCAGGAGATCCCCATCATCGCACTGAGGAACCGCCTGCTGCTGCTGCACCACCTCTCCGAGCTCTTCTGTCCCTGCATCCCCATGTTCGACCTGGAAGGCTCGCTCGACGAAACTGGACTCGGGCCTTCTGTTGGGTTCGACACCCTGCGAGGAATTCTGATATCCCAGGGAAAGGTATTCGAGTGGCAGTCTTTGCTCTAGGGGAAACTGGTGTCTTCAGTACATTGTAACCCAACAGAATTCCGGTCCTGGGAATAGAGCACATAGAATGCGGCTCGTTCAGCAAATGTTCACGGAGTGCCTCCTGCATGCCGGGCTGTGTTCTGGGTACTTTATAGCACTGAGAAAACAGACAAAAATTTCCTCCCTTTTGGAGTTTATGTTAAAAACAAACAGTAGGGTGCTGCATCTCTGCTTCGTAATCTCTGCCTCTCGCCGCTCCAGAAGGATGAGGTGGGCCTTCATAAACTCAGCCTTTGTTCCTGCGGTCCTCCTCTGCCTGCCTGGCCTTGTGGCATTATGGCAAGTTCCACTGACACAGGAAGGCGGGCGATTGGACTGTTTCTCCCGGGATGTCCAGCAGAGGGGGCCAGGAGTCACAGATAGCTTACCTTGAAGGTCCATGCCTGAATGTGTAGAGATTGCTGGCCAAGTGAGAATTAACAGGGGTGAGTAATACAGTCATGAGTGAGGGCATCTGAAAGTCACCAGGCAGCTTTTGACCTGTAGATGTTGCTAATAATTGGAGCTTTCTAGAGGTTGGGTTAGTTTCTGGCAAGCAGCTTGACAAGATGATCTCGAAGGGGCTAATGATCCTATGGTAGGGGCATCTCTGTGTAGGGAAGAGCTTCAGAATTGGATTGAGGAACACTAATCCTGATTGTGATTCTGTGATATGTTTTGTTGTCAGATGTCATGGCCCATTCTTAGTGATTTAATAACATTGAGATGTTTTGGAGTCCTGTCCCAGCAGGTTACTTTTTAAAGACTGGTTTTGTTTCCACTTGACTAGAAAGATTTCTGCTGAACGGGACTGGGGCATTCATTTTACTTTCATGTGTGCCTGAGGGTGGAGGTGATGAGGCTTGTGTTTAATGGAAAGATCATCTCTCTGATGAGAGAGGCAGAAGAAATCGTAGGCAGGTAAAATGGATAGGAAATGTAATTTCAGTTACTATTCAATAATAAGTAGCAATTAATTAATTTTGCCTTCTTTTTTTAATCCTTCAAAGTTGTGATGATAATAGGCAGTGCAGAGGTAAAAAACCTTTCTTTGCAGGGAGAAAAATGGTGAGAGGAGGGGCACGTCCCACCTGGCCCTGTACGAGCGTTGTGCAGGCTGTGAGCAGGGCATGGGTGGGAGCTGGTGTGTGGTAGGGGAGCGGTGGGCAGCAGTGTCTGGCGCCTGCTGAGGCTGCAGAAGATCAGGGGAGTGCTGAGGGCATCTGAAAGGGACCTCTGGTCAGGAAATGTGCAGGCAGCCTCGGGTCTGGTCCTGGGTGTGGTGAGGATCGGCCTCAGAGGGGGGGTGTTACTACTCCCGGTCCAGAGCACCAAAACGGACTCTCCAGGAAGGTGGGCGGGCTGGTGACTGGGAGGAGAGGGGAGTGCTTCTGTGGAGGGGGAGCTCCCCTGGGGTCCAGGCAGGGCCCGTGGGAGCAGGATGAGTCTGGGCTGTGCAAGAGGCGTGGGGCTGAGGTGCCTCCAGGATGCCTGTTCCGGGTCTCCTCTGGCGCTTAGGGCCCTCACCTCCTGCCTTGGAGCAGCTTGGAGTTCTTAGCCTTTGAACTGGGCAAGGGCTCAGCCTCCACTGAAGGACCCTTGCGCTCCCACAGCCCACCCCTAACTGAAAGAAGGCACGATTGGCCACTTGGCCAAGAGAGCTGAGACCCCTGCTGACCTGTCTCCTCCCTTTCCATTGTCACGGCTGCTTGCTGTATCCTGCACCCTTTCCCCATGGGCACAGCCGACCTGCTCCCACCTGGGGAAAGGCTGGGTCCTCACTGTGGCGCTCATGTTTGACCACGCCCTGCTGTCTTCTCCCTGGGCGCTCCCAATTTCTTTCAGTGTGTTCACAGCCAGGACCTCTGGTTGGCTCCACGGCGCTCCCTGGCCCTGTGGCTGCTGTGTGGCAGTCAGTGGTTTAACATCAGTCCCTGCCAGTGGTGGACTTAATGTTTGGCAGGGAAATCTTGACTTCGAGACCTGAGTCGGAGCAGGTGCTCGCCAGGCCCAGCCCTCCCTGTTCTGCACCCTGCATGTGCTGGGCTCTTCCAGCCTCTGGCACACTGGTGGGTGGAGGTAGTTTCCTGAGGGACCTGCCTCTTGCCTGGCCATTGGCACTGCCCGCCCTGACTTCTGTCCCTGTGCGCTTCAGTGCCAGCCTGGTCCCCTGCACCCTCACAGCTTGAGAAAAGGGAGCTGGCAGTTTTCTGTTCTTAAGGTCGTCTTCAAATCAGATCTTAAACAAAACTATGTCGTGATTTCTCCAGGACTGATGCTTTCTGTATCAGATTCTAAATTTTGTCTGTTTGATGTGTTTTAGGAGGCAGCTTTCCGAAAAGTAGTGCAAGCAACCATGGTGCGCGATCGTCAGCACGGTCCCGTCGTGGAGCTGAACCGCATCCAGGTAGCTCATGGAGAGACATGTCCTGTGCTTTTCTTGTGGCCTGACAGCCTTAGAAGTGATGCTTTCGTGGGTGCCTGGGCTGGGACGAGAGTGCTGGTAGCCTGCCATCCCGTGCACCCCAACTTTAAAGAGCAGGTGCCACCTTCCTTTTTGTGGGCTTTCTGTATGTGATGTGCTGGGCCTTCCAGGAATGTCAGTGTGTTTCTTTATATAGAAGTAATGAAGATTTATATCAGATAGTCCAAAAGCACAAACACAGGTCAGCAAGAATGGGGAAAATAAAATCAGCCCTCTTCCCACTGCATGATGATAACCGCTGCTGTTACATTGGGAGGTGTGTGTCTGTTTGTTACAGCCAAAGCAGGATCACTGCCTTTTAAAATTTGCTGCGCTCCTCCCTGCCATGGAATAGGGCTGTGGGGCTGCTTGTGTTTGGCAGCTGCCTGCAGCCTGCTCCTCTCTTGCAGAGTGTGTCCTGGTTTACTCTGTTAGATTTCTCTGATGGTGCTAGGGGGCCATGCCCACTTTTCTGTGGTACAGGCAGGGCTATCTGGGTGTGTCTTCGGTTGCCCCTTTTGTTAAGTTCTGAGAAGTGGAGTGGGTCACAGGCCCAGTGATAGTTTGATGATATATCTGATTATAGGTTGTAACAGTTCATGCTCCCACTATCCTCACACCCTCCACCCACTGGTAGTTTTCTTTGCCAGTGTCATAGGCCAGAGTTACTAATATGTCTCATGGGTAGTGGTCAAAGAAACGACTAGTAGACCGTTTGTAAGTTTATACTGCTTCAAGTCTACATAAACTCACAGTTACAAACAAAGAGGAGCCTCAGCCCCTGATGATGATAGTGTGCAGAACTTGACATTTAATGCTCAAATGAAACTGGCCTCCTCTCTTGGATCAGACACAGAGAGCCACGAAGAACAAATTCTTTGTTCCTGTACCTTTGTATTAGCACATGATTTTTACCCTGATGTTGATTACATGACTAGAAATTGTTTCAGAGTTATATTTGGGGGCATGTTGGATTAAGACACCAGACTCTTGTCCTTTGTTGGACAGCTCATGTGACCACATTGATGGAACTGGTCTCTTTACTGACGTCAGAGTGTTTAATGCTAAACTGTACGTCAGTCATGTCCTCAAATAAATAGTTTAACTAGGTTCATAAAAAAGCTTTTATTTCCCTACGTTGGATGATCGCTTCAGTTTACTGTGCATCATAAACATCACAGCCTGTAAGAAAGGCCAGCCGATGGCTTCTGCATCGTCTAACCCCAGCGATTGAGTACATCTCAACTTGCACCTCCCTCAAAACCGCATGCAGGTGTTTTGGGCCAGGGGCTCTCAGGGTGGGTGTTCAAGCCCCCTCTTCAAGCCTGGGGGAGCTCTGAGCATCAGCGAAGCTTTGATAAACTAGGATGCAGGTTAGGCACCCTTATTTCTGTCTTTGTATCATCTGAACATTTTGAGAAGTCATTACATGCTGAACGCCTCTTTCCTATGCATCTTGCTATCCCCAGCTTGTGTTACAAAAATGTTCATTCAGTATGCAATTGAAAAAACAAACTGGGTAAATGGCAAACAAATTTATATTAGTCCTTCTGGCCACGCGTGGTGGCTCATGCCTGTAATCCCAGCACTTTGGGAGGCTGACGTGGATGGATTGCTTGAGCCTAGGAGTTTGAGACCAGCCTGGGCAACATGGTGAAACCATGTCTCTACAAAAAGTACAAAAATTAGCCTGGTGTGGTGGTGGGTGCCTGTAGTCCCAGCTATTCAGGAGGCTGAGGCAGGGGGATCGCTTGAGCCTGGGAGGCAGAGGTTGTAGTGAGCCGAGATCATACTGGTGTATTCCAGTCTGGGCGACAGAGCTAGACACCGTCTCAAAGCAAACAAAAAACAACTTATATCAGGCCTTTTTTTCTTTTTTTTTTGAGACAGAGTCTCGCTCTGTCGCCCAGGCTAGAGTGCAGTGCAGTGGTGCGATCTCGGCTCACTGCAGCCTCCACCTCCCGGGCTCAAGCGATTCTCCTGCCTCAGCCTCCCAAGAAGCTGAGATTACAGGCGTGCGCCACCATGCCTGGCTAATTTTTTTTTGTATTTTTAGTAGAGACAGGGTTTCACCGTGTTGGCCAGGCTGGTCCTGAACTCCTGACCTCAGGTGATCCACTCGCCTTGGCCTCCCAAAGTGCTGGTATTATAGGCATGAGCCGCCACGCCCGGCATCAGGCCTTCCTAAGAATCAGATAAACACCCTTCAGCCTAGTGTGCAATGTGGATTGACGTCTGGGGGCTGCTGTGGCTCAGCCACGGCCCCGGGTGCCATGGATGGCTCCTTCCCGTTCAGGGTAGCATGCCCCTCCCGAAGAGAGGAAATTTTCTACACGTGTGGAAATAGAAGTGATTTTCTGCCCAAAAATGAACATGGAGAAAAACATTCTATGAATTCAAGATGTGCACAGGACACCAGCACGGAGCCAGGAAGGCTGCACAGGCACCTCCGTCCCGCCACCCCATGGCTGTGACGATGCGCTCAGGGGCACGCCTCCCGAGGGGATGCCATGGGAAGGGCTCTCGCAGCTGTCTGTGGAAAGTTTCGGAGACGCCAGAACACAATCTTACTGGAGGGTTTTGTTTGTTGGGAATTTTATTTAGTTTTATAGCAGGATCTGAACGTCAGTACCTAAAAACTTTTTTACACTTAAAAATTTATTACAGAATTATTAGATGCACATTTCTGAAAATTTAGGGACTTCAGATTAAAGACAGTTAAAATCATGTGTGTTTCTATTGAGCAGAGAAAATGCTGTCCCACAGGAGCCTGTCTCCTTCCAGGATCATGGCTGCTGTTTTCTGCAGCCTCTGAGCACAGACAGCCTCTACCAGTGGGTGCTGCCGCGGAGAAGAGGCAGCCCTGTGGGCTTTGGGGAGCTGGGTGCACCTGTCCTGTCACATGGCTGCCGTGACGTAGGACATGTCCTGTTCTTTTCTTGTAGCCCAGTCTCCTTTGGGCATGATGGAGCCTTAAAAAGCTGCTGCGAGTTTCCAGGAACTCACATCTGTGAACACCTAGCCGAGTGTGTGGCACGCAGACAAGTTCATTCTACAGGCAGCTGTGGCTTCTGTCTGTCTTCTTGTATTTTTAGTCTTGGTTATGGCAGCTTGGGCTGTAAGTGGTTTAAACTCAACTTTATGTGAGCTAAAGATAAAGAGAGTTTTACTGGAGGAGTCATCAAAATACATTCTCAGGACCATTTTTTCTTCAATTTTTCTTTTTGACATGCTTCCAGACTGGGCTTCTCAGATGATTCTGACGCACAGCCTCGGCCACCCGCCCTCCGATGCCCTGAGGTCCTGCTGTGGCAAGGGCCCTAGGGCGCCTGCCTTGATGTCTGGGAATTGGAGTCCCCTGAGCCTTTGGAAATTGTAGCTTAGGATGAGAAGGATGGGCAGCGAGAGTGACTGCCTGTGTTGGGGAGGCTGAGTGGCCCCGAGGCTTGGAAGTGGGATGGGTGGAAGTGGATGGGTGGAAGTGGATATGGGAAAGGCCTGGTCCCAGCCGAGGTACTCACTGTATCTGCTTCAGTCTCAGGGGCATTGAGTTGAATCTTTGAGTGTCGGGAGTCTGTTCTGATCTGCTGGGAGAGCTGCTTTTGGAGTTCCTGGTGTCTTATTTCCTGAGGTCATGGCAAGATGGTGAAGTGGTGGCAGTGCATAGGGTGTGAGAATGGTCCATGCCAAGGTGATGCTGCTAGGCCGCAGCTGTAGACGTGGTGGTAGTGTGTGTCATGTTGGAAGGTGTGTTTGTTCAGACACACTAGCCCTAGGGGCTGCTGGGCATATCACTGGCGACATGCCCAATGGGGTGAGGGCAGCGGTCTCGGGTGTTCAGAGTCGAGTGCCCTGGATGGCGGGGTCTGCAAGCAGGTGCGTGACCAGGGAGGGGCCCATGCACAGTGCCTCCTCCTCATGCACTCGCCAGCTCCGCGTGTCCCCGGCTGTGTGTTTCCTGCTGCAGCAGCGGCCTCACGCTTGCTTGCTTTCTCCTCTCCAGGTCAAACGATCAAGGAGCAAAGGTGGGCTGGCTGGCCCCGACGGCACCAAGTCTGTCTTTGGGCAGATGTGTGCTAAGATGAGCTCCTTTGGTCCCGACAGCCTCCTCCTTCCTCACCGTGTCTGGAAAGTCAAGTTTGTGGGTGAGAACTTGCTGGGCGTGCTGGAGCACCTGTGTCCCCGGCAGTGGTCGCCTGAGCCCATGGGGAGCACAGAGGCCACATGGTGCGGGAGTGTTGGGGGTCTTCACACAGGACTGTGTGAGGGGACTCCGAGTGACTGCTTCTCCCCTGCAGGTGAATCTGTGGATGACTGTGGGGGTGGCTACAGTGAGTCCATAGCTGAGATCTGTGAGGAGCTGCAGAACGGACTCACACCCCTGCTGATCGTGACACCCAACGGGAGGGATGAGTCTGGGGCCAACCGAGACTGCTACCTGCTCAGCCCAGCCGCCAGAGCACCTGTGCACAGCAGCATGTTCCGCTTCCTGGGTGAGCTTCTCGGCCGCTTGAACTGGGTTGCTGTGCCCTGTGCCTGCTCTTGAGTTAAAGTGTACCGTCTGTTTGAGGAGTGACAGTAGATATATCTTGAATATCTGCTTTTAGTTTTTGAGACTAAAAACTAATAAAATGTTACCAATAAAAATGACTTTTAGAGCCAGGCGCAGGTGGCTCACGCCTATAAGCCTAGCACTTTGGGAGGCTGAGGCTGGTGGATTGCCGGAGGTCAGGAGTTCGAGACCAGCCTGACCAGTATGGTGAAATCTTGTCTCTACTAAAAATACAAAAAAAAAAAAAAAAAAATTAGCTGGCTGTGGTGGCATGCACCTGTAGTCCCAGCTACTCAGGAGGGTGAGGCAGGAGAATTGCTTGAACCCAGGAGGCAGAGGTTGCAGTGAGCTGAGATCGCGCCACTGCACTCCACCCTGGGTGACACTCCGTAGCCACAAAAAAAAAAAAAAGAAAAGACTTTTCATGTTGATCGTGCATTTCACCAACATTATGGAAGCGAACAAGGTGTGCTGTTGACTTTCGTGCCTAGCATTGAGGGCCTGACGGTGGTGGACCGTTGGAAGCTCTGTGCATAGTTACAGGCACTGGCAGAGCCAGCAGGCCCTGGCCACATGCTGAGGACTGGAGACTGCCTTGAGCACTCAGAAAATGTGAGATTCTGTTTCTGCATCTTCAATGTTTATCTGAGACTTGGGATCAGAGAGGGGTGAGGTCTTCACCATTGGCCAGTCCCTCCCTCCTGTCCCACTGAGGGTGTGCAGAGTGTCCTCGGCTGTGCGTCCCACCACAGCCAGCACCTCCTGGGCAGGGCTGTAGCTCCCTGGAGGACACTCCCATGGGGAAGTTCCAGCTCTTTGCTGTCAGAAGAAGAAGAATTGGCCTCTGTGTGGCTTAAACTAATGTGTGTGCAGAAGGGATGTGAAGAGTTAGAGGCTTATAGGCACAAAAGGAAATGATAGATGTAGAGGAGGACAGATGGTCTTGAGGAAGGGCCTAGACCTATGATTTGGGTGTTACTGCTTCAGAAGGTTCTGAGGCCTCAGTGTGGAGCTGCTGCCAGTGGCGTGTGTGAGTGAACGGGAAGTTTTGTCATCCTTTTCAAGTGTCCTCTGTCACTTGTGTCCTGAATGATCAGGTGTGCTGCTGGGCATTGCCATCCGAACCGGGAGTCCCCTAAGCCTCAACCTCGCTGAACCTGTCTGGAAGCAGCTGGCTGGGATGAGCCTCACCATCGCGGACCTCAGTGAGGTAACTCCCTGGGGCGGCAGGCGGGGCCTCTGGGGTCTTGTTAACAGGCACAGTCTGTTCTGCGGGTCTGGTCAGGCTGTGAACTCTGGCCTAACTTGGTGCCCAGGTGACGCAGAGGCTCCTGGCTGTGGGCCATCTTTGAGTAGCAAAAAAAATAGATCATCTGCTTTCTGGTGTTTTGTAATGTACACTGTCTTGTCAGATAAGGAAACTCACTGCCTCCCCTGTGAAGAAGCTGAGCTTTTGGGAAGCCGGGGGGCTGCAAGTCAGGCTTGCACAGGAGGCTCTGTCCTGGGGCGACCACAGCCAGCTCATCCCTTGTGGCTGTGTCGTGCCTCGGCTGCAGGGCGGGAATCCTTGCTAGCCAGTTGCTGTAACTTTCTCAGTGGTTAGTTTTAAGCACTTGACTGAACTGTGAATTCTTTGTTCAGCTCCTTGGGTGAAGTACTCTCTCGTTGCTCCTCTTCTGTCTTGGTGTGTGCTGTGTACTTGCAGCCTCGAGATGCACTTGAGGCTGACCCCGGCTCCTGCTTGACAGAGTGTGCTGGGTGGACTGGGATCTGGGGTGGGGACGAGCCCTGAGTCGACACATGGGCTTTCTTTTTCTCCTTAAAAGGTTGATAAAGATTTTATTCCTGGACTCATGTACATCCGAGACAATGAAGCCACCTCGGAGGAGTTTGAGGCCATGAGCCTGCCCTTCACGGTGCCGAGCGCCAGCGGCCAGGACATCCAGCTGAGCTCCAAGCACACGCACATCACCCTGGACAACCGCGCGGAGTACGTGCGGCTGGCGATAAACTACAGGTCGGTGGTCATCTGTCTCTGTTGCATTGACACAGGTAGCAAAAGTAGCAGAAAATGGTTGCATGGACGTGTGTTTTTAGGAGTGTCGTCCACAGTACAGTAATGGATTTGGCTGCAACTATTGCTGATCTGTGGGTGTGAAGCTTATTCTGTGATCAGGGTCGGTGTTCATTACTCCTAGCTCTAACCAGAATACCAAGATCAACAGAATCCACCCATTTGGGTCACTGCACCTGAGGAGGCCGTAGTTTTTGCCCTGTGTGCTTTCTTTGTTGGCTTCCTTGGGACAGGGCTGGGTCTGGGGCTGTCTCGACCCCCTCCAGGCTGCTTGAGTGACACAGAGCAGCCTTTGCCAGGTGTCCAGGTGTGACTGTGCACAGGCCTTTGGGCGCCGTGATTCAGGCTTGGCAGGTCATTACCACCACCCACAGTTTCCACTGCTTGTCCCATGTCCCCTGGAAGCACCTGAGAGTGTCTGGATGAGGCCCCATGTGGTGGGTGTGCCCTGTGGGCTCTGGTGGGGGTAGTCCTGGCAGGTGTCCTGGGTGGTGCTGTCCCCCGTATCGTGTCTGCCGTGGGTCAGCATGGTGTCTCGGGCCTGTGGGCTCTGGTGGGGGTAGTCCTGGCAGGTGTCCTGTGTGGTGCTGTCCCCCGTATCGTGTCTGCTGTGGGCCAGCATGGTGTCTCGGGCCTGTGGCGGGTGCGCGTCTTTCCCCTCTTGGTGCTGGCTTCTCCTGGGGTATCCGGTGGATACTGAGAGTGGTGGCTTGGGGTGTGCGTAGCTGTGGGTGGTCATTAGGCTGTACCTCATCTGCCAGACGAGATGAGCCGAGTGTCGAGTGTCGGGAGAAGTTCTGCAGTGCTGAGCTGCTAAGCATGCTCATGCCATCTGGAGCTGGTGCTCTGTCCTCCCAGCTGGGAAGTGTGCAGCCGCAGTGCTGCGTGCCAAGAATTGGTGTGAGCAGAACAAAGTCAGTGTCACCGAAGACAGAAGTGTAAAGTGAGCTTTTTCTTCCAGACTCCATGAATTTGATGAGCAGGTGGCTGCTGTTCGGGAAGGGATGGCCCGCGTTGTGCCTGTCCCCCTCCTCTCACTGTTCACCGGCTACGAACTGGAGACGATGGTATGCCGACCCCCAGGTGGGGCTGCCCTGCAGCTGCCTTTGCCTGCTGACCCACAAATCAGTGACAGTAGTTCAGAGTTAGAGCCTTGCCCTGTGTGTTGACTGAAGGGAGTGCACTCTGAGCGCGTCCCTCCACCCGCCCGCAGGAGGCTGTATGCGGGCCCACCCGGAGCCCCCAGACCTTTCCCTGCCCCAAACAGGCCTTGGTGTAGAGAGGGAGCGTGATGGAGTCTTGCGGAAATGCCAGGTGGGAAGCATCACACGGCCCTGACGGACATCCTCCTGCAGGTGTGTGGCAGCCCTGACATCCCCCTGCATCTGCTCAAGTCGGTGGCCACCTACAAAGGCATCGAGCCTTCCGCATCGCTGATCCAGTGGTTCTGGGAGGTGATGGAGTCCTTCTCCAACACAGAGCGCTCGCTCTTCCTTCGCTTCGTCTGGGGCCGGACGAGGCTGCCCAGGACCATTGCCGACTTCCGGGGCCGAGACTTCGTCATCCAGGTAGGCTCCTGGCTGGGCTTGCCAGCCCTGGGCTGATGTCGGCCAATGGTGGCCAGGTCCTCACCCACGGTCCTGCAGCACATGGAAAAATGGGCCTCTTGTGTCGTCACAGAAATGAAAATGGAAAACATCCAACTTCTCTGATGTGAAGGCTCAAAATGTTATGATTATGTGTTTTGGGTATGATTACCTGTTTTTTAAAAATTATCTGGGCATTCCCAGAATACACCACTGCTGTGTCAGCCTACTCTAGGTTTCAAACACACGCAAAGCACTCGCTCAGTTATCTGGTCGGATTAGGTGAGTCACTAAGTAACACGCTAGATGCTGAGAAAAATGAGGCTGCTCGTAGGATTGAGAACAAGGGTTTCGCTTTGGGTTCCAACTCTGTGGGCCAGTGGTCAGAAACAAGCTCGACGGACCTGCCGGGTCACTGAGAGGGGGTGGCCTGATGCCCTCGCTCTCTGTTGGAACCGTAACAGCAGTGCCTGGGTGGATGGATCGATAGGGTCCACTGTTCCCAGCATGTGCCCGGCAGAGCCTGACCTGCGTCTCTACCAGGGTTAGAAAAGTGGCCGTCTTTCAGGGTCATCTTGGAGAGCATGCATAGTTTATCTTAGAAGGTCAGTAATTCTTAGTTTTTGTCCATAATTCTTGCTGTTTCTTAGTATCTTAATCTGTAGTGGTCAAAGTTGGGCTGGTAGACTCGTGAGGAGCTCTCCCATGATCACGTGCCTGGCCCTCCGCCTGCCAGGCCTCCCCGGGCCCATAGGGGTGGTGTGGTCCTCGGGCCCTCTTCCCGGGATGACCGTAGAGAGCCGTCGTCTCCATAGTGAGGTGCTGTTTCTTACTCCAGGTTCTAGGAATTAGTTGCACCTTGTTACTCCTAAAGTTGGTTGGATTATGTTTTCTGCTGTTTTGTTCTTAGCAAAATACATGGTTTTGTGAGCACAAAGAGCCTAATGAGTACAGTAAAGTAGACTGCAGCCATGTTCAGCTTCTGATCACGTCATATTTCTGCTCAACAGGTGTTGGATAAATACAACCCTCCAGACCACTTCCTCCCTGAGTCCTACACCTGTTTCTTCTTGCTGAAGCTGCCCAGATATTCCTGCAAGCAGGTGCTGGAGGAGAAGCTCAAGTACGCCATCCACTTCTGCAAGTCCATAGACACGGATGACTATGCTCGCATCGCGCTTACAGGAGAGCCGGCCGCCGACGACAGCAGCGATGATTCAGATAACGAGGATGTCGACTCCTTTGCTTCAGACTCTACGCAAGATTATTTAACAGGACACTAAGATGGGGAAACGTCCTTGTGAAACGAAAGCCTGAGCCAGGCGGCAGAGCGCTCGCTGCTGTGTAGACTGTAGGCTGCCTGGTGTGTCTGATGAGAAGCGTCTGTCCTCGAGCCAGGCGGGAGGAGGGGGTGGAGAGACTGACTGGCCGTGCTGGGAATGACAGTGGAAAGGTCCGCCTGTGCGCGTGGAACACCGTGGACGCTCGACTTCCAAGGGTCTTCTCACCCGCAATGCTGCATTACATGTAGGACTGTGTTTACACAGTGTGTAAATGTTTATATAAATACCGAATTGCAGCATCCCCAAAATGAATAAAGCCTTTTTACTTGTGGGTGCAATCGATTTTTTTCTTTCTCCTTTCTTTCAAGTGTCGTGAGTCGTCTTGATTGTATATTGGAAATAACTGTGTAACAAATCATTATTATAAATATTTCAATTAATTTCACTCTGAATTTGTTTATTAAAAGCCTTTTGAACATGAAATGATCAGTATTACTTGAATGCATCCAGAGGATATTTAAACCAAAATGAAAAACCAGAAGGCCATTTGGTGTCCCCTCTCCCAGGTGTCCCCTTCTAGCATATGCATTATGTCATCTGAATTGAGGCCTTTCTGTGAACAGCATCATAACTTCTATCATGGAAAGTGTACTATATATAATGTTTGTGTCATGTATATGCCTAAATTTTAATTATCTATAAATAAAACATCTGTCATAAAAGTGTAGGCTGAGCTTTCTTAACCAGTTAGACTAGCACCAGGGGATATACTGCAACCAAAAAGTCAGTTAGTCCTTGATACAGCAGTAAGTGAGATTTCCGCCAAGTTTAGATTTTTTTTGATTACAGAAACCAAACTCAAGTCACAAAGAAGTGATTAGGAGAATGGAAGGTTCCAGGGGACCAGCTGGTGGCAGGGGCTGAAGGGCTCTGGGGCCTTCAGGGTTTCCTCCGACGTCCTCCCCAGTCCCATGTGTCTGCACAGCCTTCGCTTCTGCTTTCCTTGGCCTGGGCTGAGAGTCTTCGGTCCAGACAGCCGTGGTACACGGTTTGGGCTGCTTGTGTATGGCACACACTCGTGTCTGCAAAGGGTAGGACTGCGAACCAGCTAGGAGAGCTGAACAGTATCAGATTGAGGCGGAAGTATGTGTTTCACGTTGGGAGACAGTTTATTCAGGGACACAATGTTTAGCACTCACAAGATCCAAAGGGGAATTTTTTTTTCTGGGAACCTTTCCAGGACAGAATTGGTAAATGCCAGGATTAGTCTATTTTCAGCTTAGCTCAAAACTTCCATAAGCTGTATGGTATTATTTTTGTTAATATCACCAACCTTTTGGTGTCAGTTTTTGCGGTGTAACAGAATTGACCCTGAAGTCGGTGAGAAGCAGCGTTTCTCACTCGCGCGCCTGGCTGTGCTGGGCTGGACTCAGCTGAGGGGCCCTGGGCCTGCGGTGGGCTGGCCTCAGCTGAGGG